GTGACAGAGGCTGTGATGTATTTTTCTATGAAGCCAGATTGCTTGGGATTTAATAGGTCATTGTTTGAAAAGAGGCTGTGATTTAAAAATATATATTTTAAATATCTTAATGATAGGAGATAAGCTTGAGATGGGGCAATTGTGATTTCGGTAATTCGGAGCACCACATTTCGGCAGTGGCTGTATGAAGGAAGTTTTCTATTAAAGAGGAATGGATGCCTAAATAATTGTAAGGTTACATATTCTGGGCTGGGGGTTTTACAATGAGGTTTTCATCACAATGTGGAGGGAAAAAAGCAGGACGTCCATTGGTACCACCACCAGAGGAAGTTCTTAGGGAGGAAACCATGATTAAGACTTTAAGGTCTGATAAGCGTAAAATAAATGTATATTTAGTGGGAAACTAGCGGAAAGTACCCGGCGTTGCCCAGGTCTTAAAAATATTTCAAAACTACTCTTAAAAATCAAACAGCAGTGCGTACTGTGGTGGTACCTGCTATGATTACAGCAGTGCATACAAACTGTGGTGGTACCTGCTATCACTACAATAGTACATGCTGACTCTATATCAGTATTTATGGACTGTATAGCACAAAGTACTCACCTGACAGAGTGGCGTGGTGAGGCGTAGTCCTGTGCAGAGCCTCCGGCCTCGCCTAGATTGTCCAGCCGTCCAAGGTGGCACCTTGGCAGGCTGGGCTGCTACCCCTGACCCCCCCCCCCCCCCCAGGCACGATCTCCCCGGCCGCTCTGCAGTAATATCTACGGCCTATAGTGATAGCATCTAGCGACTGTATAGTAGTAAGTATAGTGATAATAACTGCACGCATAGGGGTGGGGGGGGGGGCATCACACAGTGAAGAATTTCCCTGAGCGTTTAGTGTATGTTTATAGCATTTATAACGCGAAAGAAAATGTCCCCTTTACTTCCACCGAAGGCGTGTGACTTGGCATGCTCTCCCCCCACCACCAAAGGCGCGTGAGTTGGTATGGTCGTGCGCGTGATAAATAAATAAAATGCCTACTGCCTATAGTACTAGTATCTAGCCACTGTATATATTAATAACTGCACGCATCGGGGTGGGGCATTTTTTACGCGAAATAAAATGTCCTCCTCACTCCCACCGAAGGCATGCGACTTGGTATGGGCCGTTCCCCCCACCAAAGGCGCGTGAGTTGGTACGGTCGTGCAGGCGTAATAAAAAATAAAAACATGTAAGCGCACAAAAATCGCACTAAATCGATGATTAAACTAATTTAAAGATGACAGATGTGAAAAAGGAATATCGCTTGCTGACCGCAGGGCTTACGGTATGGTACCTGGCTATTTTAAATCCTTTATATTAAGTTCACTTGCTTGCTTGCTTGCGCGCTTACAACCGTGCAAATCTTTCGGTCGTTTTTTAACCCACTTCCCGTGATCCAATCGAGCTGACATTTTGCACACAGACTCGTTGTGCGTGACAATTTATGTTCGTGAAAATTTTTTCTCCAAAATTTTCCACTTTTTAGGACAAATTTTGTTTTCATATTTTATTTAAAATACCAATGTGATAAAAATGAAACTCTTACTCAAGAAAAACAGAAATGAATAATAAAATAAAACCGATGCCACGCATATAAAGGATTTATAGCGTTGCTCCTCCGCCCTCCGTTGTTGTTGGAGGGTGACTGCCTCCAACTGCCCAGTAGCGTCCTTCACGAGCCTCCTCCACTGCGGCCGATCTTGACACCGCTGGTACCAGTCATCGACAAGTCCACTCAGCTCCACGTCCTCCTGTACCACATCACTCCATCTTTTCTCTAGCCCGTGCTGCGCCTGTTTAGCCCCCTCGATCCGGCCGAACAAAAGCTGTTTAGGCATGCGGTGGCTGGGTATGCAGGCTACATGACCCAGCCAACGCAGCCTTGCCTGCCGGAGGAGCTCACCGATGGGACTTTGCCCAGATCTTTCAAGGATTTGTGAGCTCCTCACACAATCCAGCCTGGTTAAACCCAGGATGGATCGTAGGCAGGCCAGCCTAAATGTTTTTAACCGGCGAAGATGCTCCATTAGGGTGGTCCACGTTTCGCAAGCGTAGAGAAGGGAGGGAATGACTGTGGCCGAGAAGACCTGAAAATTCGAGCGGAGTGACAGACCAGGCAGCTTCCACACAGCGTTACGCAACCGATGAAAAGATATTGCTGCTCGACTGATTCGGAGTGAGACCTCCGCTGCCAAACCGGAGCCGGTCATGAGCACACTGCCCAGGTATGGGAAACTTTCCACTCTCTCCACAACTGCCCCATCACCGATTGAGAGTTGTGGGGGTGGAGTGTCTGATGGTACAAAATACCCAGGCAGGTGCTTAATTTTGGTGGGGCTAATGGTAATGCCCCACCTCTTAGTGGCACATTCCAGTTTCAGCAGAAGCGTCTCTAACTCCTCCTCTGAATGAGCAGCAATTACCAAATCATCGGCATACATAACGTGGTTGACCAATAGGGAGCAATCCCTTGACCGCCCCCGGGCATCAATCAGTCTCCCATTATATCTGTACCAAATGGAAATTCCCCCGGTACAGCTATTGAAGGCTTCACGAACTACGTGGTCAAAATAGATGTTAAATAATGTGGGAGCCAGAGGACATCCCCGTCGCACCCCAAGGTGTATAGGGAATGGCTCTGACTCCTGGCAACGTAGTTTTACCCGGGCCCACTCACCAACATGAAGGTCCTTAATGATCGTGAGCATATGTGAAAGACCTCCCTTTCCTGAAACCGCATTGGGGTTCCGCAAGCCTCTCCTCAGCGTGCCTAGCAAGGCGATGTTGAATAATCCTTGCCAGGACCTTTCCCGGCATACTGAGGAGTGAGATGCCCCTGTAGTTGTTACAGTCTGTGCGGTCCCCCTTCTTAAAGAGGGGGACCACCAGGGCATATTTCTAGTCCTATGGAACCCGTCCAGTGGTCCAGACTGTTGTTATGATGTCATGTAGGGCAGTCTGTGCACAAACGCCACCCTCCCTCAGCATTTTGCTTGGGAGATCATCTCTGCCCGGTGCCTTTCCTGGTCTCAGACTCTGGATCGCTTTCCATACTTCCTCAACCAATGGCACCTCAGCCAGCCACTCACAGGGGGTGACTTCCAATATTTGAGGCACCGCAGCCTCAGCAGGGTCATCCCCACTTTGTCCCACGTTGTTTTCCTGGGTAAGGGATTTCCCCTACCCTAGGACCTCACAGAAATGCTCAGAAAATCTGCAAACTTGTTCCTGGGGGTCGGAGATTGGATCACCATTCTTTCCCCTAATGATGGTAATAGGTGTGGCGCTGCAGGTTACTTTTGTCATGAAATTAAAGAGCGATTTGTTCTTGCGGGCCACTGAGGCAGACTCCTATCTCCTCTGCAACCTGAGACCACCACCCATCCTTGCAGCGCCTCACGGCTCTCCATCCTCCGAGCGAAGGCTGCGGTAAGCCTCCTCATTCTCTGATGTGGGATGCTGTAGACGATTAGAGTGGGCCTTTCGCTTTTTCTCAACCATCCTGAACACCTCCTCTGTCATCCAGGGTCTTTGGGGAGGTCTGGACCACGTTCCCAAAGCAGCCATTGCAGCTGCATAAGTCACAGTCCTAAACCTTGCCCATTTACTCTCGACATCAGGAGTGGGGGACGATGCCAACCCCAGCCGCAAGCGTTGATGAAATTCTCGCTTGCAACTTTCATAAGCTAACTGAGACCAGGCCACCTTAGGTTGGAATGGGGTCTTGGGTGTACATCCACCACCGGAGTGGAAGAATGGCAGGCGCATCTTACAGATGACTAGTCAGTCGATGGTCAGAGGGCAGATCAGCTCCACGGTAGGTCCTGGTGTCAAGGACATGGGCTCGCATCCGCTGATCCGTCACTATGTAGTCCAGCAGATGTTCTTGCTTGAATCCAGCATGCATCCGTGATGTTGTGCGCCGATGCCGGAACAGCGTGTTGGTAATTACAAGATCATTGGCTGCACAAAAATCTAGCAGCCTCCTACCGTTGTTATTGAACTGATCTGGCCCATGCCTTTCAATCACTACAGACCAGGTGCAGACACACAACAACAACCGCCATTCGCCACTAAGTGGCGGTGACGTCACCACGACGCTTGTGCCAGGCCATGTGCACCTTGAGGCCACGTGAAGTGTCGAACGCCCGCTGGCAGGAGGTCACGGGGCAGACCCAGGTGCCACGGGTTGACTGACTGAGATGACCGAGATGACTGGCTAATGCACCACCTGTGTCCCCTACTGTACTAACTTGCTGTGCTTTAGCCACACGGTGCTCCGCTCGTTGTTGTGAGCGTCGCTCCTCCGCCCTCCGTTGTTGTTGGAGGGCGACTGCCTCCAACTGCCCAGTAGCGTCCTTCACGAGCCTCCTCTACAGAGGCCGATCTTGACACTGCTGGTACCAGTCATCGGCAAGTCCACTCAGCTCCACGTCCTCCTGTACCACATCACCCTATCTCTTCTCTAGCCCGTGCTGTGCCCGTTTAGCCCCCTCAATCCGGCCAAACAAAAGCTGTTTAGGCATGCGGTGGCTGGGCATGCGGGCTACATGACCCAGCCAACGCAACCTTGCCTGCCGGAGGAGCTCACCAATGGGACTTTACCCAGATCTTTCAAGGATTTGTGAGCTCCTCACACAATCCAGCCTGGTTAAACCCAGGATGGATCGTAGGCAGGCCAGCCTAAATGTTTCCAACCGGCAAAGATGCTCCATTAGGGGGGTCCACGTTTCGCAAGCGTAGAGAAGGGAGGGAATGACTGTGGCCGAGAAAACCTGAAGCTTCGTGCGGAGCGACAGACCAGGTAGCTTCCACACAGCATTACGCAACCGATGAAAAGATATTGCCACTTGACTGATTCGGAGTGAGACCTCTGCTGTTACACTGGAGCCGGTCATAAGCATACTGCCCAGGTGTGGGAAACTCTCAACTCTCTCCACTACTGCCCCATCACTGTCCGGCAAAACAACCCCCTACCTCCTCGCGGTGCCGGATGGGCAACACTGTCGTGGACAGTGCTGTGGGGGGAGAGCCAATGCCCATTGGCCTCTCCCCTCATGGCGTCTGTGACCACCACAGTGGCTAAACGGGGGCTCTGGACGGGTGCGAGGGGCTGGTAACCCCTCCACCTTCAATTTATTACCACGAAACTACGAATTAAACATAAATATGTAACTAATAAGCTTGTGCTGGAGGCCCCGGGGAGACAGGCGTCTATAACATCTCCTGGCCAAACCCCAATTGGCGGAGCCAGGAGATTAAATCTTCACCCTCGGGGCTCCTCCAAAAACAACGAAAGCCACTATGGATGGCCACGTGGAATGTTCGAACGCTCACTGCGGAGGAGAGGCTGCCACTCCTTTGTCAGGAGCTGGATCGGTACTGCACACACACACACAGACATACAGACACACAGATGAGACACAACATACATCCGTCCTCGGGCCGTGACGTCATATCCGCTTCCGCCCAGTGTGCCGCTGGAGCCACGCTGCGAGCTGCGTGCTGAGGAGCGCCTCTCTGCACGAAGCCTCCTGGAGCCTCTCCCGGAGCAGTCACCATGGAGGCTCATGGGCTGCGCAGTACCTCACGCACCCTCGTGGCGCTGCTCGTGACGAGCTACGCGTTCCTCACGTCTGGGCCCACGGAGGAGAAGAATTTCTCCCCGAACTGGCTGGTTAACCTGGGGGGAGCCTGGGAGGTCCAACCGCCACAGGCCGGGCAGCCTCTACCTCTCGCCAAAGCGACCGTGGCTGTCCACATCAGCGACCGGCTCGCAGATCACGAAGCCAAGAGGGAGCCTCGAGTCACTTCCTCTCCCATCCATGGCGTGGAGGTTCCCCAAGGAGGAGGAGGAGAAGACGACGACCCAGCTCCCTTAGGGTGGAAGACCTTCATGGAGATGCTGCACAGCAGGCCGGTGGCCATCGCCTACGAGGTGGCGAGTGCAGGGATCGCCCTCCTCAGCCTCGGAGTGTGGCTGAAGAATGCAGTGGTGAGTGCCAGCTTCACGATTACACAGACCATAGCGTGGCACCGCAACAGACACCACACACAGAGCCACCACACGCAGAGATGTATCACGCGTACAGATCACTCGCGTAGATATAAGAATCTCACTCGCATATGTAGTAGGTTCAATGAGACGTAGACGACGTAGTCGGAGGCACACTTAATTATTATAATGTTTCACTCAGCACAGGCCAATGTATACAACACTCGAAGGGGTAACGGCCCCTTCACCTGTCTAACAGGGAGACCCCATTAACTCTAGCCCGGCTAGCCTACTCCCAGGTCCTCCACTCGAGAGCTAGGGGAGGCTAGCTGATCCAGCTCTGGCCAAGCTAGGATCACGGCACCCTTAGTCACCAGACCGGCTCTTACCAGAGCATCGGCTCTGGGCTCTCGGGGCCACGCCACTGGCTTGCCCTGGTCGGTCCTTAGAAGGACAGCGATCCAGGGGAGTCCCAGAGCCTATCTAGCCGGTCTTCACTCTTCACTAGTTAAGCTGAATACTGAACCCCGTGCCCACCGGCTCACCGCCTTATATAGCAACTCCCCCAGGAGGGGTGGGCCGTGGGAGATCACAGCGCCGTTACAGCCCCCAGGGCTAACCGATGCCGACGTGGATGTAAGCATCCTTCCGCGTGCGGGCATAACCACCCCTCGTGTGTTTGTTCGCCCTCCCGTAACACCCCTACACATACACCACACACACAAGTATATATGACATCCACACACACATCCTAGACAAAGTCGCAAACACCTTGCTCAATTAATTATGCTTAAATATTATCCACTGCAACTTTAAGGGTGTGTTTTGTTACTGGCAGCGTGGCATTTGGGACATGTGCTGGACTCAGTTGTCCTTGTGCGGCGTTGGTGAGTTGCCCTGGTGCGGACAGAACTATTTCCCCAGCCAGTAGAGTCAGAATAATACTATTTATTTATGGTTGAGGAATCCGATGAGCTATGAAGCTCTTTTTCACAGATGTCCAGTAGGGGCTGGTAAGAACATTACAACAACAAATACTACAAAAACATGATAATAGTGCAAAGTACATGAAAGGTTAAAAAATCACCCAAAAAACAAACAAATAAAACTAAACCACCCCCATCATACAAAGCCCACTGAGGTACTAACTTATTTTTCAGACGGAACCTGGTCACAAATGATAGATCAACAAGTGACATCATTTGGACATTCATAGCAGCAAAATAATCTAAATTATCGAAATAAATGTTTCTAAATGTGGAGGGAAAAACCAGAGGATCAAACTACGCAGGGCCATGGCACGTGACCAATGACTTTTGTTTATTGCCGAGAATCCAGCTGTTAGTCAAGGCTGAACTAAAGAGGGAAAGATACTTGTTGTCGTGCTGTACATTACAAATACTTGTGCAATGTTTTCAACAGTGGCGTCCGCGACCTCCTGCCATGCCAGCAATGGCCGTCCACACCACCAACCTCCCGAAACAAAAGGCTCGGTCGAACTTGGCCGAGATGGTACCTCAAGCAGCTTCTTCTTTAGGCTGTTGGATGATGGTTCCGCAAGATGGAGAATACCCGTCTCCCTCAAGGTGGACGACCTTGATGAAGATGCTGCACAGTGGGCCGGTGGCCATCACTTACCACGTGGAGAGCACGGGGATCACCATTACCAGCCTAAGAGTCTGGCGGAAGAATCAACTGGTAAGAGAGAGTGTGCTGGCTTCACTGTCACATAGAGAATCAGCAGGACACCACAACAGACACACACAGAGACACCACACCCAGAGAGGCATCGTGGATATAGATCACTCAGGCAAATGTCATAATCTCACATGCATAGATGACACAAATCAGAAGCAGAATATTTATACTGGAAGAATCCGATGAGCTATTAAGCTATTTTTCACAGATGTCCAGGAGAGGCAGGTTAGAACGTTACAAGAACAAACAATAAAAAATCACACTCACACCCTCGACAAAGTCGCACACATTTATTACAAGCACACACATTGTTCATGCTGTGGATTACAAATAGTTGTCCGATATTTGCGACTGAAAGGCAAGTACAACACCCGTGTTCAATCAATGGTGGTGGTGTGGCAGATGGCAGTGAAAAAAAATATTTGAGTGATGTGACCAACAGGGGAAGAAGGAGACTGCAATCTCTTGCCTCTCATACTGATTTTGTTTCCGGTTTTAAACAGAAGTCATCGCAACGTGGACGAGTTTACCGAAGCCGCCACATGAGAGGATCCATGTGGAAATTGGCTCGGGGCAAGCGCCACCCCATGAAAATCAAGAGGACCCACAGATCCCTCAAGACTCAGCTGGATGGCTGCTCCATAATGATAGCTCACCAACACTTAATAGCGCACCCACCAACAGCACCACTCCTACCAACACCCACCATGACAAACCCCCAACCCCGACCAACATTGCTATCTCGACTAACACCATCACACTTTCAAATACCACCACCTCTACCAATGCTATCCTGACTAACACCACCACCTCTCCACCCCTACAAACCCATACCAACAACATCTTCTCCACCTTCACCACCACCAGGACCGACACCATTACCCCAGCTGAGCGTGAGTGGTGTCACCTCATGATCATGGCCCGCACCAATGCCCGCTGCACTACAATAAGCTCAATTATCCCTACCAGCTCAACCACCCAACTCCCCCGCTCCTACCAACTCCACCACCTCGACCAATCCCACGCCTACAACATTACCACGCCTACCAACATTACCTCCTCTACCCTCACTACCACTCCCAGCCACATCCACCCCAGCTGAGCATGTGTCCAGCCTCATGATCATGAGGAAAAGAGACCACTCTTCATGGCCCGGATCAATGCCTGCTCCACCACTCCTACCAACTCCACCACCTTTAGAATCTGCACACCTACCAACACTAACACCCCTCCCAACACCGCTACCCTGACCAAACGCAACTACTCCGACGAACACCACCACTCCTACCAAACCAACCCTACCAACGCCAACCCTATCAACACCAACCCTACCAACACCATTATTCTTACTACTACCCCTACCAACACCAACCCTACAGCACCAATCCTACCAACACAATGACTCCTACCAATACGACCACCCCAAACGACACCATCACTCTTCCCAACAACAGTCCTATCAACGTTACCTATCCTACAAACGCCAACTCTATAAACACCTTGACCCCTACAACACACCACCCCAAATAAGAAATAATACAAAATAATAACATTACAACATCGCTGCACCCTTTGCATGTTAGCGTGCTGCGCTACGAAGCCGGCGACCGGAGTTAAATTTCCGCTCATGGCCAACACCAGTGATCGACTCAGTCTCAAATTAGTGCCTGGTACTCATTTAGCTGAGGCTACCTCGCATGCCAGTCTGTTAATCTTTACGGGGGATCTTTGTCTTTGACATATCTGTGGGCTAGAGTGTAGCTATGATTTATTGTTCATGTGAGGGATGCGCTTTGCCTGCAGGCCAGCCACTACATCTCCGCTCATGTGTGTTTAGCCGTGTCAGTGACGCGCCACGATGTAGCTACTGCTGCTGTCACTGTCACGACCCGGTCGGTGCCGGTTGCTCTGGGACGAAATAAAAAAAGTGCACGAGATTATCGCTGCTACTCCAGCAGATCAAGAACGGTTCTCATGGAGTCATCAAAATGCCCTGAAATCACAGCTGACCATCTCAATCACATCTGTGAAATGTCAACGGTGGTGTCCGTTGCCCCTGCTGTGAGTGGTGAGATGCCTTGAGCAGTGGTGATGTCCCTGAGTGGCGGTGGAGATGTCCCTGAATATTGGTGGAGTCTGTACAACGCGGCTGCTGTATTCGTGATTAAAGAAACCTGAGCCGAGCGTGCTTGGTGGAGCTCAGCAGAAGGTGATGAGCCGGAGGTGTGGAACTGAAAGTTCGAGCTCAAGGCGTGAGCTCAAGGTGTGAGCTCGAGGTAATAAGCTGGTGATGCGGTCTGGAGGTGAGCACGCGGTGTCCCTGTGCACACAAGCGTGGTGCGGGAGGTGGCCCGAACTAAACTTTTATTTACCAGGTAAGGCCCACTGGTCCAATAGCTCTTTTTCAGAAACTTACCTGGTCACAAATAATATCTCAATGAGTGGCTCATCATCTGAAAATATATGTCAAATACTAGAAACGTATGTTCTCAATGTGGAGGGGAAAACCAGAGGAGCCGTAGAAGAATCCTACGCGACCCGGAGAAAAACACGCAAACTCCAAATATACAGGTGTCGGGGTCGGAATCGAACCCACGTCTCCCTGTATACCAGGCGAGGTAGTTGACATCTCTCAATAACTGCCTCCTCATAGCCCGTATCTCCACAAAAACAATGCGAGTGGTTATACTCATCCCGTCAGCCTTCTGAGAGTAGATCTCAGCAGCATCATTGATTCAACACAAGCAGCATCCTGGTGAGGATTGGACACTTGGTGACTAATCAGCAGTCAGGCTTGCTTGAACCAACACTGATGAATTGCCAGGTCCTCTTGGCAGGGACCCACTCTGATAGACATGGATCAAGTTCAGCAAATAACTCTGTCACGCACTGGCTCGAGCCTGGCCCTGCGGATGTCACTGGAGTGCACGGATACACGGCACCCTCTCCTGGGTGAATCTCTGGCTGCGATGGCAGTGGCGCACGAACACAATCCCGAATTAAACAAAATCAACACATTCGTTAATAACCCGGCGGCCTTTAAAGAAGAACACATACAGGCGACGCTTCGGACAATGGCCTTCCTGTCCAAGCCGGCAGCTCGCCACTTCAACAGTTGGGACGACTGCCCCGAGTGTCGGTGCGTGGCCTCTACCCGCGGCCTCTGCTCATGGTGGAGGTGGCAATGAGACCAAAACCTCATGAGCTAAATGACCTAAGGGGCTGTCCATAAATGACGTCACGCGATTTTGGACGACTTTTGACCCCACCCTCCCTCGTCACACGGCGTCACGAAAAGTCAGACCCCCCCCTCAAATATGACGTCACAAAGCTCTGCCCCCCATCCCCCCACAAAAAAAAACACGCTTCAAATAGCTTTAAAGTATTGTCATTGTAGTGCGTATTTAATGTGCCGCTGCACTATGATGTTGTAGGATAAAACATTTATTAAAAGTATATTTAATTAAGTAGAACGTGTTGACTATATTTTTAAAGTTACGCATTTTGATGTGACGTCACATTTCTCAACCCCCCCCCCTCGTCACACATCGTCACAAATGTCTGACTCCCCCCCCCCCCCTAGGTGCGTGACGTAATTCAAGGACGTCCTCTAAATAACCTAACCAACATGGACGTCCTCTAAATAACCTAACCAACATGGACGTCCTCTAATAACCTAACCAACATGGACGTCCTCTCAATAACCTAACCAACATGGACGTCCTCTAAATAACCTAACCAACATGGACGTCCTCTAAATAACCTAACCAACATGGACGTCCTCTAAATAACCTAACCAACATGGACGTCCTCTAAATCAGTGCTCCCCAACCTTTTTGGCACCAGGGACCGGTGTCATGGAAGACAATTTTTTCACGGACGGGGGGGGGGGTCATGATTGGGTCTTTCCCCCTTTTCAAAGAAGCTGACTGAGACAAGTGCGCAGTGCGGGAAAGAGGCGCTCACCTCTTGCTGTGCGGCTCGGTTCCTAACAGGCCACGGACCGGTACTGGTCAGCGGCCCGGGGGTTGGGGACCCCTGCTCGTCTCAATGAGCTCACCAACACGGACGCCCGATCAGTAATCTCCACCGCCGCCGTGTGGCCACGTGGTACAACTGCAGTGCCACAGTGCGGGCGAGGCAGCTGCGGCACTCTGCGCTGTCTTCGCCGAGGGGGTCCGAGGGGGGTTGGGGGGGGGCTCTGGGGTGCATCCCGGGGGGGTCAGGAGGGGTGCGGGCACCTCATCGCGTGCCGCTTTCAGATGCGCTTCTGCGGCCATCGCTCTTCCCGATATTTGGAAGCATTGGAGCTCTGCACTTTTAAATGTCTTTGACAACCCATTTCTTTAGAACTGCTTTTTGTGCTTAGTTTGTTGTCCTTCACCAGCAGCCAGCACCTCCGATTATCGCGGTTGGCTACGTACGGTGCGATAGAAGTTCAACATACATGTTGTATGTTAGTGCTGTATGTTGTGCATTGGTGTTGCAGCCAGCCAGAAACCGGCGCGACCAACAATATCCCCAAGCTCTGTGGTCCTACATTGGGATAATTTGTCGATACCGCGTTGGCAGTGGTGCACAAATAAAACTCACTGAACACATTCGTTAATACCACGGCTGCCTTAAGAGGAAAATATATCATGGGCGATGTTTGAGCAATGGGCCCCATTGCATGGCATATGTTTGCCCAGTTCCATTCAAGAGCGAGTATGCATGTGAGGGGAGAGAACCAACGCGTGCGAGGGGGAAACATTAAATCCCCTCGAGATGGAAATGTCTCCGCTTGCTGCGCTTCCAGACCCTGGATAGGCCAGGAGATGGCGACCTTAGCGACCACGGGGAGTTTCACAACATTTGTGGTGATCCACACGTGCACATACACACAGACTCACACACTCACACAGACTCACTCACACAGACTCACACACTCACACAGACTCACTCACTCACACAGACTCACACACTCACACAGACTCACTCACTCACACAGACTCACACACTCACACAGACTCACTCACTGACACAGACTCACACACTCACACAGACTCACACACTCACACAGACTCACTCACTCACACAGACTCACTCACTCACTCACACAGACTCACTCACTCACACAGACTCACTCACTCACACAGACTCACTCATCACACAGACTCACACTCACACAGACTCACTCACACAGACTCACTCACTCACACAGACTCACACACTCACACAGATCACTCACTCACACACTCACACACTCACACAGACTCACTCACTCACACAGACTCACACACTCACACAGACTCACTCACTCACACAGACTCACACACTCACACAGACTCACTCACTCACACAGACTCACTCACTCACACAGACTCACAGACTCACACACTCACACAGACTCACTCACTCACACAGACTCACACACTCACACAGACTCACTCACGCACACAGACTCACACACTCACACAGACTCACTCACTCACAGACTCACTCACTCACACAGACTCACTCACTCACACAGACTCACACACTCACACAGACTCACACAGACTCACTCACTCACACAGACTCACACACTCACACAGACTCACTCACTCACACAGACTCACTCACTCACACAGACTCACCACTCACACAGACAC